CCAGCAACATAGACACAGCTGTAAAGAATTTCACTTCATCTATTTGTCATTGTATCTGAAGTACAAAGAACAGAAGGAAGATTAAAAGTCCAGATCATAGACTATACATGAAATGTGAGCATCAAGTAAGTCTGGTTATCAATCTACATCAATAAATGGTATGGTTGCAACACAAGGATAGACATACAGTACAGTACAGTTGATTATTAGTAGCTAACAGACTAAAAACCACTCGACACAGCTGAATCCTATTTCACAGTTACACTACACATCTGTCATTTTCTACTTTATGGGATAATGTTTTTTTATCGATTATGTTATTGATGGTCCCCTGTGCAACACTTAAAACTTCTGTTCCTGTCTCTTTTTGTAGGAGCGACACAAAAGCATCCCTGATGATGTGGCAAAGGATTTGCATGGAGTGATGTCACAGCTGAGGAAACATGAGGCCCTGCTCCTTGAGCTTGCCACCACAGAGGAACAGGTGATAAAGTGCTAAATCTGTTGACCAAGGACATCATATAGTTAAGAAAAGATGTTTAACATCTGATTCAGCTTAAATGAAAAGATCACCATGGAAACAGTCTCTTATGGGTTGTTAACAGGCTAGGGAGCATTTCTAAAGTGGTTTACAGTCAGTCTAACCTACAGAATGTATTTTGCTGCCCAGTGATACATAAAATCACTATGAAGGGCGACATAAAACACCATTTCTGACATCATTACTACAGAAATGTAGCAGAAGGAAAATCTGTTCAATACTCACTGATGATGAGCTCAATAAGACAGAGTGGAAGATGCTGTCTGACAAAATGACAAAGTGCCATTGGCTGGAATGAGACATCTTAATGTATCTTATCTCTTTCATTTCTATAGTTTCAAGAGCAGCTGGACTCTGTTGACTCTATCCTGAAGCTTTGCACGCCCGAACTGAGTGTTCGCCTACAGAAAGTGCAGGACGAGGTGGTGGAACGGTGGGAGGAGCTGCGACTTCTTGCTGAGAAGAGAGAAGAGGAGCTCAAGCTGGCTTCCCAGCGATATCAATTCCTTAGCATGGTGAGGACAGATAGATGGATGCAGGTCTGAAAGTCTAAAATAGTACTTCCTTGAGTTGTTCAGTAGATGTTTTGCATCTTTTTGTGGAGGTTTTTCAAGTGTATTTAGGTAAAAGGGGAATTTTGTCCATTTGGATTTTTTCCCCAACAATGAGCTTACTTCTGTCATCTTCCCCATTCTTCTTCTTCAGGTGCAAGACTACTTCCTGTGGTGCAGCCAGCTGATCAGCGCAATGGCAGTTGAGGAAAGCATCAGTGATGTGGCTACCGCTGACCTCCAGCTGGCTCAACATCAGCAGTTATGGGCTGAGATGGAGGCAAGACAGGAAACCTACCAGCAAGCTCTGGACATGGGAGAAGAGCTGCAGACACAGGACAAAAGCAACCAGAAGGAGGTAAGGAGGAGAAGTAAGATTTTGGAGACTCTGGGGATAGCTATATGGCACTTATGAAATAAAAGAAAGAAAAGTCTGCAAGACCAGAAAGCAGATTAAAAAATACAGCTGCAAAATACAGAAAATCACAACTTCATTGTACCCTTCAAGCACTGTCCAAAACACATTGTGTGCATGAAAGGATTTGAGATGCTGAAGCAAACTCATCTCTGGAGATCAGCTTGAGTATACTCAGGTATACTCTGGCTTTAATCATTAAGCTCATCTGTTGTGGCCTAGAGTCATATTCTGATTGATTTCAGAAATAATCATAAAGTTACGGTTACCATTTACCTGTTAATGAAGTCCATGTTTGATAAGTATAGAAAGAACTTGTTATCCCAGGGCGAGGTGGGGGATCGGGTCCTCGGATAACATGGGATAACAGCTCTTTAAAAAAGGGCTTAACCTTAAGATGAGATGAATCTGAATTTTTTTTTTCACTGTTGTAAGGTAGACATTGATACAGTCTAGTCAGAGAAATTAGACTTTTTGTTGGGTGATGGTTCTCTTAGGTGTTGGAGAAGATGGACGC